AAATCTAAAACTCTTTTTTACGTTTAAATCTCTTTAAAGGAAATTTTTTAAAAAATATATTTTACTGATTTTTTACAGAGAGGAAGGGAGAGGGACAGAGAGTCAGAAACATCGATGAGAGAGAAACATCGATCAGCTGCCTCTTGCACACCCCCTCTTGGGGATGTGCCTGAAACCAAGGTACAAGCCCCTGACCAGAATCGAACCCGGGACCCCTCAGTCCACAGGCCGACGCTCCATCCACTGAGCCAAACCAGTTAGGGCTAAAGGAAATTTTTATGTAAAAATAATATTATGTGACTACTAGGGGCCCAGTGCACGAATTCATGCACCTTGAGAGGAATTGTGGGCCACGCGGCGGCAGTGGGCACAGGGGCGGGTCTTGGCCCATCCTCCGGGCCCCAGCCTGGCCCCTCCTCTTGAGGCCCCCCAGTCCCCCGTCTGCGGGCAGCCCTGCTCCCACATTCTGATGGAGCCGACCCCACTCGCACCTGCTGATGGCGCTGTGATTGGGGCCGGTGCTGGGCACTGGCAGCAGGTGTGAGCGCCTGGCAGAACCAAGGCACACAGGAACAAAGAATTTTCAGTAACCACCAGAGGCTCACCCCGATGACAGCAACTGGTACGAGGCTAACCCAGATAACAATGACTGGTGCCCCACCTTGGTCTGGCAGCCCCGCTCACCTGTTCCACCATCCTGCCACAGCCAATGCCCGCCATATTCTGCGCTTTGCCACCTGCTGCCGATGCATGTCATGTTTCACACGCACCCCCTGGTGGTCAGCAATGTCATAGCGACCAGTTGTTTGGTTGTTTGGTTGTTCCACCGTTTGGTCTATTTGCATATTAGGGTTTATATGTATAGATACTTTGAGCATATAAACACTTAGATGACATAAACCCAAATATTAGTCACATTTAAAAATAGTAACTAATGAAATTTAAAAATATATATATATATCATTATCATGTTCTTATAATGAATTTTTAGGAATGTGGATTAAATTTAAACCAAAAACTTATTTTCTCTGTTTCTTGCTTCTTCAGGCCACAGTCAGCATTAGAAATGAACTGTGGAGGACTCATGAATATATTTGCGCTCCAT